CTTCTTCCTTCCCTTCCTTCCCTTCCTCCTTCCCTTCCTTCCCTTCCCTTCCTTCCTTTTCCTTCCTTCCTTTTCCTTCCTTCCTTTTCCTTCCTTCCTTTTCCTTCCCTTCCTTCCCTTCTTCCTTCCCTTCCTTCCCTTCCTTCCCTGCCTTCCCTTCCCTTCCTTCCTTTTCCTTCCTTCCTTTTCCTTCCTTCCTTTTCCTTCCTTCCTTTTCCTTCCTTCCTTTTCCTTCCTTCCTTTTCCTTCCTTCCTTTTCCGTCCTTCCTTTTCCTTCCTTCCTTTTCCTTCCTTCCTTTTCCTTCCTTCCTTCCCCTTCCTCCCTTCCCCTTCCTTCTTTCCTTCCTTCCTTCCTTTTCCTTCCTTCCTTTTCCTTCCTTCCTTTTCCTTCCTTCCTTTTCCTTCCTTCCTTTTCCTTCCTTCCTTTTCCTTCCTTCCTTTTCTCCTTCCTTCCTTTTCCTTCCTTCCTTTTCCTTCCTTCCTTTTTCTTCCTTCCTTTTCCTTCCTTCCTTTTCCTTCCTTCCTTTTCCTTCCTTCCTTTTCCTTCCTTCCTTTTCCTTCCTTCCTTTTCCTTCCTTCCTTTTCCTTCCTTCCTTTTCCTTCCTTCCTTTTCCTTCCTTCCTTTTCCTTCCTTCCCTTTCCTTCCTTCCTTTTCCTTCCTTCCTTTTCCTTCCTTCCTTTTCCTTCCTTCCTTTTCCTTCCTTCCTTTTCCTTCCTTCCTTTTCCTTCCTTCCTTTTCCTTCCTTCCTCCCTTCCTTTTTTCCTTCCTTCCTTTTCCTTCCTTCCTTTTCCTTCCTTCCTTTTCCTTCCTTCCTTTTCCTTCCTTCCTTTTCCTTCCTTCCTTTTCCTTCCCTTCCTTTCCTTCTTTCTTCCCTTCCTTCCTTCCTTTTCCTTCCTTCCTTTTCCTTCCTTCCTTTTCCTTCCTTCCTTTTCCTTCCTTCCTTTTCCTTCCTTTTTTTTCCTTCCTTCCTTTTCTTTTCTTCCTCTTCCTTCCTTCCTCTTCCTTCCTTCCTCTTCCTTCCTTCCTTTTCCTTCCTTCCTTTTCCTTCCTTCCTTTTCCTTCCTTCCTTTTCCTTCCTTCCTTCCTTCCTTCCATCCAACACATCTCCGTCGACCACTCAGTCTCGCTCCCCCGCGGCGAGTGCAACTAAACGAGAACCCAAGCATCGGAGATGCTTTTGGGAAAAATGGTGATGATATTCATTGGTTTGCTCGTTCATTCCTCTCTTTCAGTTTTCAATCTATTCACTAATCTATCATGTGAAACCTACACTCTGTGTGCTCTCAGTTGTTCACATGTGAAAGAGACGGCCCCAGTGGATTTTTCTACAGTTTCTCCATGTCGTGGTTGACCAAACATTTCCAAAGCCTGGATCCTTTGGCTAGCAGCTAACACCTGCCTACCCAACTCCCCAAACACCACAGGGCTTTGGCAGCCCGGCCACCTTTAAGTCATAGAAGTTCGGATCATCTTTGCCACTTCTGCTCTGCGAAAGCTGCAGAAATTCCATGGACAAAATGTATGCCACACTCACGCCCGCCTCCTGACAGGGTAGAGCAAGCGGCTTCGCGCTGCAGGGCTGGAGGTTCATTCACGATTCAATCCCCACAAGCTTCTTGGATTAAACCGGCATCACACCAGAGCTGTTGTGAATTGCAATGAACTTTGAGGCAAAAAAAATACCTTTCGGGCAGCTTTATCAGCCTTTATCATCTGCAAACAGGTAATAACAGTAACATGTATATCATGGCCAGTCCGGAGCAATATCCCAATATAAGGAAGGGCTACATAATCAGAAGGGTCACCATGCACATCCCACAAGATTGACGTCCATCCCCCTGGAGGCTCAGCTACCCCATATTTCCTGGGGTCAAAACATGGCATGTGGTTTGTGGTCATCTATATACCTCATATAGGAACCCGTACGGTTGGTATGTGTATATGTACACACACACACATATATATATAATTATATATATATATATCCCTCTCTCGCCCTCCCTTATATATCTCTCTCTCTCTCTCTGAGTCTCTCTCTCTCTCTCTCTGAGTCTCTCTCTCTCTCTCTCTATCTACCAATCTCCCTATAGAAATTGATTGATGATTCCCATCCCCAACGGGCTGGCTATACACTTGACCATGGCACATTTCCCCGGTTCCTGACTTTGTCTGCACTGCAGTTCTTGCATGTGGCTGTTCAGCCGCTGCTGTGTCCAAGCTCGCTTGGCCAACTCCTTCTGGACTCGACCAATCTCCTTCTCATCGCCATCCCAGGAGGCCTCCGGGAGCGATAAAACTCGCGTGCTTTCAAGGTGCTGGGTCAGGGTACCCAGGGTAGCCTGGTAGGGTCAAGGTTTTTCGCCTCAGCCTATCCTTTCGCGCGTTTTTTTAGAAACGTGATCATAATTGTTCATACATGTTCATACTCTCTTGCTGAATGATGTATTGCTACGTGCGTATGTGGCTGTTACAATGCGACGGCAACCAATCCCCCTGTAGGATTGCATTGTGGCACTCCATCTCTCGGCATTTTTACGCAAGCGACAGTTCCAGAAAGTTGTGTAATTTCGAGGTCACGCTGAAAGCCTTGCAGTGATCCTGATCCCAGTGCTGCACTTGTTATAGATGAGTCATCTTGCAATCATTCTAGAGCCCCACCTGTTAGTTGATTCCTCTTGAAACCGTGATCGGCCACTTCCACCCCAATAAAACCGCTTGGGACCCAAGTCCCAACGGTCCCAAACAAAAAGAATTTGCTACCCTCTAGTAATTTAAGGTAGCTATGGAAAGCAACCATTCTTAATAGGTAAATCATCTACAAACAAACCATGCTCCACAGCTATGTTAAATTACCAAATGGTAGTTCAAACGACTATGCGTTTTGCCTTGCTTTCAAGTATAGGGATGGACATGGACCCAGTTTGAGACCCCGTGACCAGCTATGCACTCGGCGACCCAAAATGTGGGGGTACCAACAGACCCCCAACTTTGATCGTTCTTGTTGTTGTTATATATACCTCCACATTGGCTACATTTTCCAATCCATTGTTGATCAAATAATGTTAAAGCCCATCAAATTTCCATTAAAAGAAAAAACTCGGTTCCCATCAGCTTATTAGTTGTTTTTCCGATATGGTGATGTTCACCAAAAGTGGCATTAAAACACGTGTTCTTTTAATGATCACTGTTTGGTTTACCCCTCATGTCCCAGTGATTGTTGTTTATAGTCCATATCAATCTATATCCCATGTAAAATGCTAGGTTTCTACACCTCCTTTTTGGTTCGCCCTATCGAATTATTGTTGCTTAGATTAGATCCTATTATGTATTTCTCGCTGTGTACACACATACAGTATATCATATTAGAATATGTGTTACAAATTACAAATTCATACATACATACATACATACAGCTGTGATTCTATATTATTATACCGTATTTATATTTATATCCATATTTATATCTACATCTATTTATATATATATATATATGTGTGTGTGTGTGTATATCTTCCATTTTAGCATTGCCCCGGTCGCCTTCTCCAGTTCCGCCATCAGCTGCAGTTCTCTCAGCTGCCAGCTGCGCTGCATGCGCTGCCTGCGGCGCCGCAGCACCGCCAGCAGACGCAGCAGCAGCGCCGCCAGGGCGCCGCACGCGAAGCTTTGGAGGGCGCTCAAAAGGAGGTCCGGTACTGGGATGTCCTGAGATTTGAAAAAGATGATGTGCTGATGTGCTAGTTTTAAGTGGCGATTTTTTGATGAAGCTGTGGTGATCTGACTATCGCCAGTGTGGTTTATTGTGGTTTATTGCTATGTTATGGCTATCCTGTGGCTGTTTGCTACTTGATGGCTGTTTCATGTTTTGTGGCTATTTTATGGAGATATGACATGGCATATGATATGGGATGTATAGCCAACCATGTGGATTTGGGTTGTTCTACCAGCCGGGAGCTTTTAGTGGGGGTGATTGATCCGCAATCATTGGGTAAACGTGCGGGGTTTATGGCAGGTTGTATGGGGGAAATGGCGATTAAGCATCAAAATTCGAGGCACCCTGTTTTCAAACAAATCCATATGATTCGTCACTATAAGGAGTTGTGAAAACGGGGATTTTGCATATTCAAATTAGATGTTAAAATGTTCGGAGTACGATGGGACCTTCAACTCGCAGCAGGGCCTTCAAGCCATTGTCAGTTGTCAGTTGTCCGTTTTTTCGGGTCCTAAACTTGTGAAACAGCAAAACCCATCTGCTTCATGAAAGCCACCATTTTCACCGTCGTTTCCCCCTTGGTTTGCCACGCAACAGAGGAGTCCCCTAAGTAGATCATCGCAGACATGGCCACAACGAGGATAAACGCCCATACCTTACAAATGATCGATGCGTGGCAGGGAAAATCCATGGGGGAAGCCGTGCTGACTTTTTGGAAGACTGGGTATACCTGTAATATCTCAACAATGTACGCTGAAATTTGTTGAGCCCATCCAAAACGATCCAAGGAATAGTGAACAAAACCAACCTAAACGCATTCCTTGCCCCAACTTGCATATCAAAAATCCACCAAACACCATGGTACTATCCAGTCATCGGAAGTTGGTGATCAAAAAGAACAACTTATTTTGAAGTCAGAGTTCGCTTACGTTTGAGGGTCGAGGCACGACTTTATCAGTTGTCTGTAACTCCATCATGTCCAAGCGATATTTAATCTCATAGAATCTAAGGTATCTAAGTTGATCAACTGATCAATTTCACATAGTGGTGGGAAATGGTCCGTTCATAAAAATGGAGATTTGCCATAGCTATGTTATAACCATGATATAACAGGGGATTACAGTGTATATGATATACTGTGTATATATATATATATATGTGTGTGTGTGTGAAATATGTATTAAAAAAGAACATAAACCAACCTTCACATCAACATTCACATTACTAGGGGCAGCCACAGGTGCCAGGGTGCCAAACATGGAAGGCCCAGGCCGGCGGAGAGCAACTCCCATGGGCTTTTGACCACGGCAAAGCCCTGGCAACTCACCATGCAGGAGCCCTCAGCTGCCCAGCGAAGTGTGTAACTTCCGGAAATTTCAGCGCTGGAAATTCTGGAAACGGGAAAAATATGGAAAACATACTAGTGATTAATCATGATTATTAATTATTACAATAGTACGTACTATCAAATAATCAGAAATGATCACGGATAATCATCAACATAGTCATCAATGATATAATCATCAATATAATTTAATCATTCATAATCACGTATAATATCGTATAATTAATCAATTCATAATCACTAACAATAAACTAAACTAATAATCACTAACAATCACTAATAATCACTAATAATCGATGATAATCACCCATATGCAATAGGTTCATCATCTTCCAACACATCTTTGGGGCATTGACTTTTCTGCGAGGGGCATCCGTCTTGGTGAAGTCCATCGCAGAATCCATGGTCGGTTGCAAGGAGACCTCCACTTGGTGAAGGATCCCTTTCTGCAGGTTGGGCCACAATAAATCCACTACGAAAAGTCACTTCGAGATATTTCCTCTCAATAACCGTTTAGTTTGTAAAAAAGAAAGGAAAAGTCCGTGATCTACTAAACACATCTAAACACATCTAAACACTACCTTCAGTGGGTAACCGTCCAAAATCTCATGCCCCGCCCTCTCCTGGACCCGAAAGGCGCTACGGCGCCTCCGACAGAGGTAGCGAACTCAGCGTCCTGCGTGCGCTAACGTTCTTATCCATGCGGACCAGCAGTTCCAACTCGATGTCCTCATTGATCAATGGTTGGGGGCCAACGGCCAATGGAAATCTCAGAAAAATTGGGATCGACATGGATTTTTTTGAACGAAACCACCAAGCATGTATGGTTGGATATGTTGGTGAGTCAAATCCTCTCCATTGACACTAAACTTAAACCGTCATGTGGTAAACCCAATAATAAACCATCGCCTTAAAAACCAGCCATTCAGTGGTAATTTATACATCATCACCAAGGGGGGAATTCCCACTAATAGACCCCGTTTGCAGATGTTTTATTATTGGGTCTGCCCCTCTTCCAGGTTTCATCCTGCCATAGCATGCCATAGCCAAGTGGCACCTACCGCTCTGGCACGAATGGGTTTCTTCGCGCGGTCCAGGAAATCACAGCCTGCCGTTGTAAGGATCTGAGCCGATGAATCGACTGTAATGATGTCCAGAAAATCCCGAAGACTCAAATTCTATGTCATTTTACATCATTTTACCATGTTTGTACATATATATATATGTATGTATGTATATATAATTTTATATATTATATTTGTTACTTGTGGATTATCACTACCATGGTCAGTAGAATGGGTCATTTGACTTTCAGGGTTGGAAGTGAGATTGACTGGTGCTCCTTTTCACGCGTTTTTGTGCTTGATTGACCATCCAGGTTTGAGACGGCCAAGCCGCCCCTCCGTGCCTGTACCCTGGATCCACAATGGAAAATGCCTTCCCCAGAAGCCACGAAGTAAATAATGCCTGTGCAGGGATCTAACGGTGCTGAATCAACCTTTAGATGATTCCAAGATATGCCGAGCCACCCAGCAATCATAGCAATCTTCACTTGGGCTTAACCATCCCAGCTATAGCGGTCATGGACATTTTAGGGGGTGATTGGGAAGTAGACAATGGCTGAAGCCCCACTAGCTGCGTTGAATCAGTGACCTCCGGCCTTCCAACCCCATCAACCCACCATGAATTCACGGTGAATCCATCCCACCTTTCAGTGGTACGAAGGAGGACACAGCCACTCAATGAGATGATGATGGCGTCCACAACCATGACATTCCTGCCATTGGCATCACCCTTGGGGGGTGCTGCTGCGCTGTTGGGAAGCTTACACTTCACGCTGCAAGATGTTTGGCCTACTTATCCATCTTATCCTACTTATTTTGGCAGAAGCAATACCAGTTTCCCATCAATCCAGGATCGCGAAATCTAAGCCAAAACAGCAACTCACCACACCCCAGTCCATCGCAGTCCTCAGGGTCATGCAGAGGGCCACCGAAAGGCAGAAAGCCAACAAATAGATGAAACCGACCTCATCTGCGTGGCGCCAACGTGACATTCCAATACTGCATACTCATCAAGGGCATGACTCGGCATGACCTCCCAGACGAATGGCAGGATCAAAACCCTCGCTGATTCCCCTAGCAAATACCTAGTCACTAGTCCACCTCACAACCTCACATCAATATCCAAATCCATCCAAACCCAAACCCATTCTCACCCCATCCCCAATCGTATCTTTCCATATCCTTCCATATCTTTAAATGATTTTAAATGTATTGATATCATTGATATCTATCATCCACCCATCAAGAATCAAATAGTTCACCCCAAAATCATCGTGTGAATCATTTCGGAGTCTTCACGCCGTTTGGAGACATAGCCCCATTTCTCGACACGCCAAAGGGGCCACCAGCACGAAGATGTAGTTGGGCTTGCAGCTGGTACGATCCAAATTTGGCACCTCCCAGGACGCGCAGCTCACGCACTCCGGAATGTCGGGCGGGCGCACGGAGTTCCCTGTGCAGTTGATGCCTTCAAGCCACACCGCCGGAGGCGGGGTTCCCGAGCTGGAAATGGTGAAGCTGAAGGGCCCTAAAGAGGCCTTACAAGAGCTACTTCGGAAAGTGGTTGAAAAGCCACCGGAGGTGTCCAGTTTTTATTCATCTTGTGGATGCGGATGACCTTTAATACTACTGCCAATACTACCTATAATTACCTATAGTGTCCTTGTGTATCCTCTAGTGGCCCATGACATCATGGTTCCCTCAGTATGACTTGGAATGGTAAAATCAGCAAGGTGACTTGGAATGGTCATTACAAATATTGACAATATATGACAATATATTACAAGGTTGCTGACTGTCTATCCTGCATGTTGACTTGACAACCAATACTATCTTCAGCAGTGCTGCCGAAGCGCTAAGGACTGCAAAGCCCCTTACCACTGGTAGAGTTTCAAGGCTGCTGAGTTTCAGCAGCTTGTCGTTGTTCGATATCCTTGGCCCGGGTGACAGTGGGTAGTGGCACCGCATGGCACCGCATGGCACCGCATGGCACCCCAAAGCCAGAAGATGATCCAATGATAGACTCGCACGGATGGAAAATCCAGGGTCATGGGGATGATGTCAGGGAACATTTGCAGGAAACCTTGCCCCATCAAGCCTGAGGCCTTGCCCCAGTGACAAGAGTCTCCATGTTGCCTGCGACTGTCAAGTCCTGAGAGAGGCCACTCATATCCTCCAAGGACGTGTTATTCTCTACCTGGCAGAATGAGAGCTGATGGAGTGAAGCTTGCGGAAAGGCTTTGGTCAAATTAAGCAGCACAGCCGCTCAACGGCAACATTGTCCCTCTAGTAAAAACCAGCCAATGTCCCAGGCGCAAGGAAGCTCCCACCAATCAACTGCAAGTTTTGGAAGGTGCTAACATCCTGCGGGAGCAGCTGCAATCTAGGGGGATGAGGAGGGTCTTCTGTTCTTGTGTGTTTGATGTAAATCATGTGATTCAGCCATTCTTAGCCGAAAAAACTCGAATCAAACTTTGGTGAAACTCCATATTTAACTTTAGCTGGGATTCCTTAAGCCACTTTCTTGCTACTGGAAAGTATATACTCAATCTACATTGGAAATGACAAACGTTTTATGGTTGTTAGACCCTAAAACGGTGTGGTGCGCACCATCAACTCCACAGTGGCTCCAACGTGCTCCAACCCCGATCCAGCTTAGAGGTGCAGTTTCAGATCAGATCATTACAGTAGCAATGTTCTCCACAAGCAACCGTCCTTCCCAGTCTGCATTCCTAAACTTCCATAAACTTCCCACAACACCAACAAACAAGCAATTCGACACTAGAGACATGACACATGATGAAGAACCAAACAAAAACTGTGGCTACTACCAACCGGAATTCAAATATTGCTTTAGCGAACTCAGGAGGACAAAAAAAAACTTGTGCAAAGGATGATTTTGAGACACCGATGGCCATCCTCGTATACAATCCCGCGAGGACCTTTGTTGCAACTACCAGATAATTATGTATAATTATGTGTAATATTTAGCCTTGAGTTCTTTATGGATTCGTCAGTTTGTCATTTGCATTTGAGTTTGTATCTGTTTGTTTCTTTGTAGGCAACGCAAGAACAAAATACAATAAAATACTTTTACGAGATATGGTTTTTACCCCCAAATGCTGAATTGTGACAAATTTCTGTTCATTTGTTGGGTTCAGCGTGTCTTAATGCCCTATGTTCTTTGCATCGCAGGCAATGTTCAGCAGGAAGAATCATGTCTCAGGCACCAAGAAGACACCTTTGAAGTACACGGTACCACAACGAACTGGTTCCAAAACCTTTGTTGATACTCCCTGGTAATCAAACATGGAAAAGATACCACATAGATGATTGTCATTGATTGACCTATTTAGATGCCCATATATTTCGGTTCATGTTTTCTGTCTCAAGCCATGTCCTTCAGCCGTTGGTTGCCCTTGATCTCCAGGTTGTTCAACACCTCGAAGGGTTTAAGCACGCCCCGGTGACCCCCGGTGTAGATAGGCAGGTAGTTAGATGAGGTAGGACGAGACAGGATTCGATAAGATAGCACAAGATAGGATACGATAAATGATACGATGAGATAAGAGTAGTCTAGATTGTATGTAAATGTAGACTAGATAAGACATGATAAGACTAGACTGCCTAGACAACTAGATATACAAGAATTGCCAATGAAAATGATCCAAACCACTGAACCAAACAAGTCCTGCAAGCCGCAGCTCGGTCGCCTGCTGCAGCGAATCGAAGTCCGACAACGTCTCTAAGGCTTTGTTGAAGGAGATGGCCATCGGACCCTTCACCCGCGTCAAATTCGTCATGGTCACCTGGATGGCTCCATGGGGTACATCACAAGTGATCTCCCTGGAGAACGAAGTATGATGTGTCAAGTGTTGATGTTGATTGGTTGAATATTGGTTGATTGGAAATGGAAGTTAAAAATCGAGCCTTCAACATCTTTCAGCATCGTTTTCACATGATTTCAACACAGGAAAGAAACAATTTTTTACGATAACAAACATGATGATTCACATGGATTCACTGATTCGACATGCCTAGGAATCCTTTTTGCTTTCGCATGGCATCGCAGTCATTAGACTCGACTGACAAAAATCGGTCGGAAATCTGTCCGCCTGGGTCAACTCAAAGTTGGCCAAAACCGATAGGCTCGCGACCGAAGAGGCACCTGGTGAATTTGTTGCCCATCCCCAAAAAATGGAAATGGGGCGATTTACCCAGCTCAAATTTGAATTATTTTGAATTTCAGGACTTTTGCAAAGATCCAAATCATCTAAGTTTAGATGCGGCAAGGCCCAAAACTATAAACCATACTCCATTTGCATCCATTTGCCCAATAGCTTGCCATGTAGGGAGCATGTAAAACCGACCTCACAATGGGGATGGGATGCTGAGATATGCTGAACATGGCAGGTTCATCCTGCATCATCCTGCTACATGTCTCTGGTCAATGCTTCAAATGTTCAGTGGGAAAGTGTTACCGCAGCAATCACTTAAGAACGGGTTCGAAAGCTAAGACTCCCAAACCCACAGTGTGATAAATGTTACCATCTTGTTATTTAACATAGAAAAAGAAAATCACCATTTTTAATAGGTAAAGCATCTATAAATGGGCAATTTTCCATGGCTATGTTAAATAACCAGAGGGTAAATGTTATGGCCCGAGTGAGTCCATATGAGTCCATGCTCGAGCTCAATCGGACAGTTGCACCCCCTGTCATTTCGCAACGGCTTGCCTGGACTACTGAAACTCCTCAGCTTCGCATTGTAGGACACCTGGCCGGGGAACGAAACACTTTTTTGAAAAACATTCTTCCAACCGCATGGACTTGTTTGGAGTTTCAAGTAGCATCCGAATTGGCTTCTTAGCCATATCATGCTATATCTCTGAGAGAAACAAGATGGTTTTAATCCCTTCCCTGCTTATACCACTCAAACAACCTGGATTGCAGCTGCTCCAAGGCTACGGCACGCTGAAACTCCCAGAATCTCCCAGACCCAATGGGCCTGCACGTCACCCGCCACTGAGCGCAGCCGCGGGAAGTGTGCGATTGGCAGCTGGTCGTTGTCAATCACCGTGAGGTCGCCCACGCTGACCAAATGAGGCACACGGAAGTCCTCGATGATGATCTCAAGGGGTTGGGATGTCGATTGGGCTAAGGGGAACTATGTCGAAGCTGAAAATGTTGAAACACTGAACTTATTTGAACTTGATCTCACTTGCCTCATGACTCAGTTCAAATAAGGGGACGTATCGGGGCTGCAGGACTCAAACAAGTTGTCATGTGCAAACCTCAGGGAAGGCAGGGAAGCTTGCTGCCCGAAACCGAGCCCAAAGATCGGCCACAGTTCCCTTATCCGACCCGCGATGTCGCACGATGTATGAAGCAGCTGGGGTTCCCAAACAAAACAAAAACAGGAACACCAGACAGCACCGAGCATCTTCCAGGGCGCCGTTAAACATCACCTCAAAGGCTCCTGCAATGGGTAGGAACAACTACAATAACGACAACAAGAACAAGAACCAAAAAGAAACACCGAAACAACAAACATTTAGAGTCTAGAGAAACCCAACAACAACAACAACAACAACAACACCAACAGCAACAGCAACAGCAACACGGAAACTGAAACAAAGGCAACGCAAAAAAAAAAAAAACTACTGCCAATCCCAACAACCACAGTGGCCAGAACAGCCACAATGACCCACAACAAGCGCAAATCTTCAAAACAAATCGAACAATACCCGGAATGATCTGCAAAGTTGTCCCACATCGTCGCATCATCAGGACTGGTGTCCTGGAACTCGATTTGCTGATTCCAGAACCTGACCACAGCTGAGACTCCTCTGGCCAAATAAGTGTGGTAAACGGGTAGCCAGTTTAGATTGATAGGCCATATCCCAACCAGGTCATGTTCTTAAAATGTCTTAAGCCGCCTCGGTTCTGCTTCTATGCAAGGATTTCACAAGAATCACCTTCACACACGCATCATGACACCGGTTCACCTAGAACAGGCTTCACATCTTCAAGGGGTCTTCAGCCTCAGGTCTTTACTTTACAACCCCCATCGGGGCTCTGCTTCCAGCCCAGCCCATGGCCAGCCATGGCCTGTAAATACTCAAAGCCACCCACGACCCGCAGTGAAGGATTGCTCTTGATAGTCAACCCCCCGAGCCTAGGTAGTCGTTCTCTGGAGGCTGCTGGGAATATCCAACAATGAAGGAAAGGATTTGCAAAGGCTACGTAGGATTTGCCATTTGCCGGGGCCCATTCCAAAACGCTGACAGCGATCACGATAATCACGACTACTACTACTACGATTGTGGTGATCAAGATACCATCTGGTTATTTAACATAGCCATGGAAAAATCACCATTTTCAATAGGTAAACCATCTATAAATGGGCAATTTTCCATGGCTATGCTAAATAACTAGAGGGTACAGTAATTACAATGGTCGCTGGGGAGGGGGACTCCGGCTTCCACATAGCCGCAAGTCCCACAATGACCACGCCCTCCCAATGCAACTGCAGCGGCTGATCCAGCTTGGGTAGACCATGCACCTAAGGAAGGCATAGGGGTCTAGAGAATGGCCAAATAAATCATCATCATCATCATCATCCAAATATAACAAAGTAGGTCGTAGGGATATATATATATATGATTATATATGTGTGTGTGCAGTGTTATGTAGGCATACTATCCATTAATCTACATGAAGTGACATGAAGTGTTTATCCTTTTGGAGACCCGTATGCTGTTTGGGGTCTGATACCATGGGATGTACCCCCTGGGCGATCCTTAAATCCATGCAGTGAACAAAGGGTCACGTCACGTCCCACAGCGGTGCCTCGGTGATACCATCATTGAAGCTCAACTCAAAGGCGTTGCCTACGGCTGTCTCACACCAAAAAGGATAGTCTCATAGGTTAATATTAAAAAAGGCGCCATCAACTACGTAGTATTAATAACATTTAGTCACTCAATAGTCACTCATACTAATTGCTAGTACAGTAACTAATTGATACATATTACATATTGATACTAATTGCATGAGGATAAGGGAAGCCTGCTTTTGCTTCACCAGTCATGTCGGTGGAGCAATCCTACAGAATAGGAGCACCAGACTTCAACATGCTTCAACCACTTGCACAGGCCAAACGCTGATGGCTGCATGGCGCCTATCTTGGAGATGTTTGGCAGTATGGTGATGTTTGTCAGATTGTCGTTGTCCTATCGGTTGCTGTCAAGTGGTGTCAGGGTATGTGCCACATGCAGCATGGCCTCAAGCTTCTGAGGAACTACAGTTGACTTCTTGACAAAAATTAAGCCCATTTGGCATCGTAGACGGCAAATGCCTCATCATCCAAACAACATAATAAAGGATAACGGGTGGAAAGGGAGGTTGCAAAGGTGGACAAGTCTTTTGATCCATGAGAAGCAGACAAAATCAGACAAACAATAGACAATACTCTTTCTGATGTTCATGGATTTTCTGCGTGCGAAGTGTTCCCATCGTCCAACATTCATACAGAAGTTTGCAAACCCCTTCACCCTAAATGTCGAGGCGACAATCATGGTTCTGGGTAAATTATAACGACCTCACTTCCACCTCACTCGAATCATGGCTAGAAGGGAAATCATCCCCAAATGGCCTTAATTCAGGTTAGTAAAATATTATAATTTACCCAGATGGTTGCCTAGTCCGCAGCCACTCCTTGATCATGAACCTCCCCTGGAGCGTTTCCAAAGCCATGACCATGTTGTCCACTGAATGCATGGCTGGATTGAAGATCACCTTCCGCCATGTTCATATATCCGAGAGGATCGAGAGGAAAGGCTAGGCCAGGCAACAGCCCCTTCTACAAGAAAGCAGGTAACAACAAATCCATGAATTAAACAGATTGAAAACGATTGACATAGGAACTGAATAGGAAATAGGCACGAGAACTGCGTCATTGAGACCGTTTGGTCCTGGGATCTACAGGTAGGTTTTCTTGATGGAATCTGCCGTGATCCCCCTGATCCGACGGCTGATCCAGGCTGGACGGCTGGACCTCCACGTTGCCATCAATGGCCCGGAGACTTGGCATTTCGGGTGCAACCAGCAACTGGCTGTTGCCCCGGAGGCCAAAATCTCGGCCAATGCGCACCAAAGCAGGGAAGCCTGACACAGACAGGCGATGACAGGCGGCCGGGAATGAAAAATGCCCTTTGATTTTTTCCATGAAATCCATGAAATCCATGTTTGCCTCCAGGCACTGCAAAAATCCAGGCTACACCATGTTGAATACGATAGAGGTGTTACACCCCCTCAGCATGATTCTGACCACCTCTGTGATAGCTTCCCATGCCGGCCTGTGATGCTCGTAAGCTTGTGATTGTGCGTGATCCGCAAGGAATTTCCGATGACCTTTAGCTTGGTGAAGCCAGGTAAGTCGCCTTGCCGACCAAAGCATTCCCCGGCCCCCATGCGTCCCAATGGATGCAAGAAACATATGGTTTTTTTGGTGGAGATTAATACAGGTTTCTAAACAAGAACAATTGTCATATTGATTTTCATACGCATATCAATACCTGCGCGTATAGATGCATTTACAAACATATATTATATAATTCATATCATATACCGACATACATAAACGCATACCTTGTATCAACCCGAACGTGGTTCACAAACCAGCTGGCCGCAACCGGGCGTTTATCGACCACTGTTCCCACATCGAGGGACTGAGCTGGTGATTGAAGAGGATATTCAGAGATCCTGCAACTGGTGCTTGGCCAGTTATAAACCATGGGTTCGGGATGAAACCACATGTGTGGATATAGATGATATAGCTGGGACCATAGAAAGGGATTAGTTTAATACTCAAGGGATGATGTTCTAGATTTCTATTTCTATGATTTTCTATGTGTATCATATCTATCTCCATATCTTATTTGTTGCGAATTACAACTGGATGGGATGAACATAATGAACCCACCACATACATGGGGCCCCAATGGGCCCCATGGGGCCATTTCCAAGCAGACTCGCTGGGCTGCAGCCACAATATCATGGCAGGGTGGCTTAAGGAAAGGTCAATCAATTCACATGGAGATTGAGAGTTGCATACAACAATAAGCCCCTGGTTGTTTTTTTTTTGCGAGGTACTATCTGATCTCAATACGTATCAGATTGTCGCTGTTTGGTGGCAGCCCACGTGATTCATCAACCGAAGTGTGTAAATCCCAGTCGGCATTACAGGTCTATTCGGTGCTCAGAGGTTATTGCTGTGGGAGCTGGAGAGTCTACAGCCTTTCCCCCTGCCAGGCCCTGCCACCTCTCCTCCAATTACCTCGAGGTTGGAAAGACCCGAGATGTCGGTCAATTTCAAATTGTAGCGAATCTCCACATTCCCACCTGCGTTTGACACAAAGGAATCCATGATGCTCCATTAATCATTGGCTTTGATGATTCACGATTAACCAGGAATCCATTAAATCATATTAAATCCATTCAAATCCATTAACCAGGAACTGACCATTAGCTTTGATGTACCCTCTGGTTATTTAACATAGCCATGGAAAATGACCCATTTATAGATGGTTTTCCATGGCTATGTTAAATAACCAAAGGGTATATTTTTTGGAGGTCAGTTCCTGGTCCCCAACTCACCGCCCTCCCAAATGGCGTCATCCACTGTGTCCACCCGGCTCCACTGCTGGGCGCTCCACACCTACCGTCCGCAGGTTGCTGAGCTGACCCAGGTGCTGCAGCGTCACGTCATCCACCACCACCAGATCTGCAGTGACATGTCCTGGATTTTTTGGCATTGTCCCAGCTGATTTTAGTGATTTTCCCTGATGAAAAACCGTTCAAAGCTCCATTGATCAAGGGACATGTTATGAAAATAATTTGTTAATTATTGTTAATTAATAGTTATTGCCATGTTTGATTAGCGGTTGTTTTTAAAGAATGTCAGGCTGACTTGCTTGACAGCTCCCTTGCGGCTCGTGGCCAAGCGATGCCAAGCGTCTTATGCTTTGCAGCTGACTCTCATTGATAGGCAGGCCGTGCAAGTAGGCCCCTGAACTTGACAGGATCAGTTCTGGGTGTTTCAAGCGCCAACCAAAACATGTCCTTGGCTATGCAGCGCAACTGCCAGTCGCAACTGCCTGTTTTTAGGATCTCCCTGAGGGAAAGGCTTATATAATGCTGGTTCTGTAGTTGCTGGGCCCTCCATTTTGCAGAGAATTCGGATACTCATCAAATGTTCATCCCAAATTGGGATAAAAAGGGGCAGGGTTGAAAAGAGAAGCAAGATCTGAAACATTCATGGCAATCTACATCAATTATGCCTCCCGAGAAGCATCTCTGCAGACACCCTATGGCTCAAAATGTCAGGCCCACAGCCAAAGCTTTTCCCCATGTTCACTAGCAACATCCAAGCTTGATGGAACAACACCATCCAAAAACCATAGATAACCAAAGAAAGGTCCAAACCGAGCGCTATGTACGCCATGTAGCAAGTTCAGGGTGGAGTTTGATCTCGGAAGCTCAGGCAATGGAGCTGCAGTGACACTGGTGGCAGTGGCAATGGCAATGGATCCCAGGGCCACAATGACGCTGGACCAGCGCATGGAGACTACATGGATCCTGGCGCCACTCGGATGTCCCCTCCAAGGAAAAGCGAACAGGATGCACTTATGATTTATGATATTATATATATGATCTTATATGTCGGGATAGTGGAGTTTCTCCATTCATGAGATGCACATTCACAGACACAGCCACATCTGTGATAGTTATATGTAAACAAATAAATAAAATAAATAAATAAATATAAATAAACAAACAAACAAATAAATAAATAACACACCATAGACAACAACGCATATTTCTGGTGTGAAATCCTGCACAATCATCACTGCCTTGGTTTATGATGGAAAATCCACACGAAATATCAGGAAACCATGTGTATACATATATATATATATAAATATATACCATATATTTATATATATATACCATGTATATATATATATATATCCTATATATATATACCATATATAGTTGTTCATCATGTTGTTCATGTTTAACCTATTTTTTCCTCACCGCCCGTCCTCCGAGACGTCGGCAGCTTGTCCGTGACGGCCGTGTCGGGTTTTTTTCCGGGCGCCGCGGGATCAGCCGAGGTAAGGCTGGATCCGGCAGGCCATGGTGGTGTGAATTGGGGGCATTGTGTCTTCGAATGCGTTTGGCTTGACATGTGATTTATATTTATATATAATTATATATATATATGTGTGTGTGTGACATATATGTGACATATATGTGACATTGTGTAAGCTTTTCCCCACTTCTTAGTCATTGGCTTCCGGCGGCTTTTGTTTAAGA